GGGCTCAGGCAATCCACTCACCTCAGCCTCCCAAAGCGTGGGATTACAGGCTGAGCCACTGAGCCTGGCTCTAGTAGTAACTTTAAAGCAGGCCACTGAAAGGATGAAAGAATCTGGTGATTCATGAGCACTTTTTTTAAAAAACATTTTTTATTTTAAAATTGTGGGGTACAGTTAAGGGTTAGGTATACAAATATGCATCGTTCAGGCACCCTTGTTGATAAGGGGTATCCCCCATCCCCAGACAGATATTGACTACCGTTAATCCCACCACCCTTGCCCTCCCTGCCCTCCCCATAGATTCTCACCACTGTCAATCTTTTTCTTGTAGTATTATGAAAGATGTTCAAGGTCCACTTATGAGTGAGAACATGTGATACTCAGATCTTTGTTGCTGTGAAAGATCACTCAGTATTATAGACTCTCTAGTTCCATCCAGGTTGCTCCAGTCAGAATGGCCATTATCAATAACTAAAAAAATAGCAAATGCTGGAGAAGATTTGGTGAAAAGGGAACACTTCTACATTGTTGGTAGGAGTGTAAACTAGTGCAACCTCTGTGAAAAGTAGTGTGGCGATTCCTAAAAGCTCTAAATATCGACCTCCCAGATGATCCTGCAATCCCCCTACTGGGAATATATCCTGAAGAAATCAAATCACTCTATGAAAAAGATAGCTGCACACGTATGTTTATCGCAGCATTGTTCACAATAGCAAGAACCTGGAACCAACCATGCTGCCTATCAAAAGAGGAGTGGATTTAAAAAATGTGGTACATATACATGATGGAATACTATGCGGCTATAAAAAAGAACAAAATCATGAATTTCTCAGCAACTTGAATGAGCACTTCTTAAACACTGAGCTGTAGACTACCTATTGTGATCTGAAGGAGAAAGGTGGTGGTACACTTTGCCTCTGGGGAACTTATAGCTTAGTTAAAAAGACAAGATATCTATGCAGGAAATCCTTAAGACAGGAATTGATCAAGTACCAAGATGAGGGCTCTAGGAGTATGGGCTTGTTCACTTTGTCTCTCTTCCCATGCATGGGAAAGAGACTCACAGAATTGCAGGTAGAATAACCTCTAAGATTTCTGATTTTTCAGCCATCAGTCAGTGTAGAATCTTCTGGCAGCTGGTCATTCAGCTTGCATTTGGACACTTTTACCTACAGGGAGAGGCCCAGCACTCACCACTCAGGACCTGATGATAGCTGATTGCTGACTTTGGACAGAGAGGGAAAAGTGAATTGCCTTTTAGCTACTATCACCCTTCAGTCTCTATAAATGAAACTGTAAGCCTGAAAGAACATGTGTAAAGTAAATAGGGAAAGAGCCCAGTTGTAAACTCTAATACCAGTAGAATAGGTCAAAGGATGCTTACATTAAATTTTGATTTCCCATAAGGAAAGTCAGACTAAGTTCATCCTAAGAGGGTCACTTCTGGGGGAACCAAAAGTAATTGTTTCTGAGGCCTATTATTCTGCTAGTGCCCACCTGTATGTAAGTGTTCTGGAAAAACCTGAGGGTATGAAATTTGGAAAGGTGAGTTTAGCCCATATGCCAGGTTGACACTTTATTCTATCTAATTCAAGAGACAGACTGATGATTTCTGGGACTAAAGGGGATTCGTGGAGGTTTCTTGTCAGGAATACAGTGTGATGAAGAAGGTTATTAAGCTAGAATATAAACTCTCTTCCCTAATAACCTCTGAAAATTATGTTACAAAGTACAATATCTACAATTTTGGTCATGTGCATTAAATAAAATAGAAAGATAATATAAGAGCTGGCCTACAGTTGTATATAACCAGTGATCTAAATGAATGTTATTTTTATCATGATCATTATGATCAAACTTATTAATAGCCAGTTGAGGACTAGACACTCCTGGGGGAGGGAAACATCAAGCCATCTGAAATTGGAAGGAATTAGAGAATTAGAAAAAGAATAGAACAGATGTCCTAGTGTAGAATGGACTTGAGCAGGGTGGAAGAATGGGTGTGCTTTGGATGGAGAGAAGGGGAAAAGAAAATGAGGGTCAGTGAGAAAACCACAAAAGTTGGGTTGTGTAAGATATGCATGCAAAGTACCTGGAAGATGGCAAACTTGGACTTTGGTAGAGGTAGGGCACAGGAAAATTGCTATTCGTGGATCTGCATAGGTGTGTCAACTTTTAAATAAGATTAGCTCACTAGGTGCAAATAAATCATTCACATGACTGTGTTCCAGGCAGTAGCCCCTATTGAGCTTATGACTAAGGCAATCTGCCCATGACTCACTAGAAATTCTCTTCCCAAAGAGGTCAGAGGAGAAAGTGGGAGTGGTAGACTAGGAATTATGGGCAATTCTGGGTGGCCCAAGTTAGTAATCTTTCCCAGTGCTGATACCAGGAGATCAGGCCAAGGGCTCTTGCCTCTGCTGCTCATTCTCTTCACCTTTCCCTCACATCTTAACTCCTTCAGGCTTGTTCATCCTTTGATTTGATGAGGCCCTGGAGTTAGACCATCTCTAATTTTATAGATAGGGACGCTAAGGCAGAGAGGAAAGGGAACTTGCCCTT